GCATGTTAGATACTATCAGTGATTTGGTAGGTAAAGTTGAGAAGATAGCAACAAACCCATGGGTTACACAGGAGATGATGAGTAAAATGGAGGAGTGAAGGAAATGGAAGAATGTCAACAATGAAGAAGGCAGGAGGAAATACAGGAGACTGAGGAATGAATTGAAAAGAGCCACGGACAGGGCCAAAAAGGAATATCTTGAGAAGATATGTAATGAGATTATGGAATTTCAAAGAACAGGCCGTTATGATTTGATGTACATGAAGACAAAAGAACTAGGATGGAAAGAGAATCATGGGATTCAAAATGTTGGCATCGAAGACTCCCAGGGGAATAGAATAGTAGATCAGAGGCAAGTGCTGAAAATTTGGGAAAATTATATTTCAGAACTATATGATCGACCTAATCGGCCAGAAACCTTAGAAGTTGAACCGGAAGAAGAAGTAGATACAGACGAGAAAGGACCATATATTTTACAAAGTGAGGTGGAAAAAGCTATCAAGGAAATGAGGAAGGGAAAGGCTACAGGAGATGATGATGTACCTGGAGATGTGCTCAAGTTACTGGGAGAAGGTGGTTTGAAAACACTGACAAAACTAATGAACACCATATATGAAAGTGGAGAGTGGCCCAAGGACTTTACAGAAGTTACAATGATTGCCTTAAAGAAAAAGACAAAAGCTACAAAATGCAGCGACCATCGCACAATAAGTCTTATTGCACATACAGCAAAGATAATAGCAAAGATACTTAAAAGAAGAATTGAAAGGAAAATAGAGGATGTACTTGGAGAAGATCAGTTTGGATTTAGAAGAGGAAAAGGAACCAGGGATGCAATTGGGATGATGAGAATTATAGCGGAACGAACTTTGGAGATAGATGAAGAACTGTGTGTTTGCTTCATAGACTGGCAGAAGGCATTTGACCGGGTAAACTGGACCAAATTAATGCAGATCCTGAAAGAAACAGGTATCGATTGGCATGAAAGAAGATTGATTAGCAAATTGTACATGGATCAGAAAGTTAGAGTACGACTGGACAGGGGGGAGACAGGAAGTGTGCAGATTGGAAGAGGAGTTCGACAAGGATGCTGTTTATCACCAATTCTGTTCAACTTGTACAGCGAATGCCTTACCAAGGAAGCTCTGGATGGGCTCGGTGACTTCAAAGTAGGAGGGCAAATTATTCAAACTGTGAAATATGCAGATGACCTTGTGTTAATGGCTAAGGAAGAAACTGTGCTACAGGGCATGATTGATAGACTAATTGAAATTGGAAGGTGCTATGGCATGGAAATGAATGTGGAGAAAACAAAAGTAATGAAAATTTCGAGACAACCAACCCCAGTCACAATAAAGATAGACCAAAAACAAGTGGAGAATGTGAAATGTTTTAAATATTTGGGTAGCTTGTTAACAGATGATGGAAGGTGTACTTGTGAAATTAAATCCAGGATTGCCATGGCAAAAGCTGCATTTAGCAAGAAGAAGAATCTTTTTACCAGCAAATTGGACTTAAATTTGAGGAAGAAACTAGTGAAATGCTACATTTGGAGCATAGCTCTGTATGGGGCTGAAACATGGACACTTAGGGCAGTAGATCAGAAACATCTGGAAAGTTTCGAAATGTGGTGTTGGAGAAGAATGGAGAAGATCAGTTGGACCGATTATGTGAGAAATGAAGAAGTGTTAATTAGAGTCAGTGAGCAGAGGAATATCCTACATGAAATAAGAAAACGGAAGGATATTTGGATTGGTCATGTTTTACGCAGAAACTGTCTTCTAAAAGAAGTTATCGAAGGAAAGATAGATGGGCGGATAGAAGTGACAAGAAGACGAGGAAGAAGACGTAAGAAGATGCTGGATGACCTTGGGGACAGAAGAGGATACTGTCATTTGAAGGAGAAAGCTCTAGATCGCATTAAGTGGAGGAATTGTTTTGGAAGAGACTGTGGACCTGTCATCATGACAGATTACTGATGATGATGATGATGTACTGTTGTAATCATACAGAACTGGAAAATGGCCTTAAACGAAGAAAAATCATAAGAGAGGTTAATATTTCCAAGAAAAGAGAACTATTATTGTGTGGGTAACATTAAATACTTAATTTCACCCTTTTCACTTACAGAACATTTTTTTTCACGAGACTCAGCTACAGGATATTCGAAATACCTGATTTTCTCATAATGTTATTTTTGCGTTGAACATGGTGAACTCACTTTATCCCACATAGAAATAAAAAACGTAAGCATAGTAAAATACTTTCAGAAAAAAATGGGTATGAAATGTGTCACATTTCTCCACAGCTTCTGAAAGAAACACTTTTTCGCTTTAATAAACATTACGTTTTGTCTGCTCACAGAAAGGCGTATGGGTATTTATGTAGTGTCATTAGTCCCCGATTTTAATAGTATACTGAATTTGTCGTTGAATTTTTGTGAACCCGCTCCCCCAAATATCAAATTTCACGAAAATCCGTTCCTCATTGCTCAAAATATTAAGTCTACATGCCGGCAAAGAGACGTGGTGAATGTCATACGGGCATTTCCGCAACTCTTCGTTCTCATCGCACCTAGGAAACAGGGCACCCGCACACCAGCTGGACCAACACAAGCATCAAGACATCAAGACGTTAAAGACCAATAAAATCCGATCAAGCCTCGAGAAAAAAAGACGCAGTCTTCCTTCGTTCATGATTCGTCAGCATCATGACTCAGACCGGTGTGATGCGGTTTCCATAACCTCATTTGTTTCAACTGTGCTCCTTTCTTTGCGTCATGTCGCAGACATCGTGTCTTGACTGTTAAATGTCTTGATGCATGCCAGTGTGCGGCCTACCTAACCAACCCTATCCGCCTAAAACTCAACTTCCTGCTTCTACTAATATTCATACACAAACATTTTCATACTAACGCCTTACGAGACATACGAGTAACAACACTGCTTTTTTCATAGCACACACCGCACACACGTTGAAACATGCATGTATAGATGCCAGCACCGTCACAGACGTCACAGAGGTCACAGCCGTACAAATTGTGTAAGGGTGTTGAACATCAATGCTGTCCTGAAAAGTTATTAATCCAATGAAAATAAACCGTGAATATGGAAAAATCTATGCGACAAAGGGGAAAACACGACAAACTGAAGAGAAAAAAAACAGTTTCGAAGGAAAGGATACACAATAGTGAATGCCATCACGTTACCGACCTCGTCTCAAAGTTGGAACATCAGGAATCAAACTCAGACGCTGGTAGGATACTACCATATTTTACCTTATACTGCGTTCAGTTCATTCCCCTCAACACATTTAAACGGAGATTTTCTTTCCATTATGATTTCACAAAAACAAACCCACCATTTTCGTTCAGGCGTACCAACATCTCAGTGTTGCATTTGGTGAAGTATTAATTATCTTTGGGAAACTGGCGTTTTCGATGAGTTCTGCATAGAAAGAAATAGTGAAAATGGGGGTTCATATAAAACAACTGTGCAGTAACGTTGTTTATGTAACCTACTTGAACCGAAGAGGGGATTGATTAGGCGTTAAATACATAGCAAAAGCAAATGCATAATGTGGAAGTATTGTCTGTCGGTCTAAAGCCTAAAATTCGATTTGTTCCAATGTATGCCATAAGCCATTTCATAGATTTCGCTGAATTTCGATTTGGGAAACTACACCAAAACCTTTTGGGCATTTTGGGTTCTGAGCCATATCGATGTATAAATTCAGGTTTATATAGGGCCATAAATGGACTCCACCTTGGATTTATGTATAAACCTAGCCACAGACTCTTAAAATTTTATATTGCAGACTCCCACAGAAGTCATCAGGAAATGTCCGCCAAATTTTCATTTCATTATTCCCATGTCTAAGTATATTTAATAAAGGCCGCGCCATAGCTCAAGCGGTTAGTCGCTGGCTTCCCACAATGGCGGCCCAGGTTTGATCCCGGGTCAGGTCAAGTGGGATTTGTGGTGGACAAAGTGGCTTAGGGGCGCGTTTTCTCCAAGTACAATGGTTTCTCCTGCCAATATTCATTCCACCAATTTCTCCATCATAATGACCCGGGACAGGCTACAATAGGCCAATCACTGCCTGTCGTGCCAAGTGATTCCAATTGGACTCCACCCCCCACTAAGCGAATTCAAACAATGCCATTGGTGGCTTTCATGTGGTACATTACGTAGTATACGCTTTGCAGTTTTGTTATAATTTGCATGGTTATGCAATATGTAATGAAAGACCATACTGAATGAAGGACTAACCCATGATATTTCTTCTGAATAGGTGACTGAACACAGAACACATCTTAATGCAACAAAAATTGTTCATGTTGTGGGCCCAAATGTTCTTGAAACTAGTGGGCGGTTGGAGAATGATGGAAATATACCTTCCAAAGAATGTGTCCAAGTATCCAAATTTTGATGTGCTACTTGGTCACAAGAAAGAGATTAACTATATTATGTGGTGGCCATACAAGGCCATACAGTTGATGCTATCTACGCATCTCTATTTTTTTAGGACAGATTTCAAAGTCTCAAAAACTGTGTGTCATCTAAGGTGGAAAAACAATGATGAGATCTGGTGCCTCATATAGGCTCTCCATTCTTCTCACTAATAATATTACTATAACATTAAAGCATCTTGTCAGCAAACACCTTCAGGCATGTCTCATGTGGAGGGTCCATGAATGTATCAGGGGCCATAGACTCACATAACCACAGAAATAATTATGGATTTCACTGCTCCCTCCAGAAATTGCCAGGATAGAGCTATATTATTCTAGTATAATATTGTGACCTCAGTCATTTTCAAGTTAGAACACACGTTAACTAACATCCAGCATCTTCATAAATAGCAATGTTAAACTGCTGAATGAGAATTTTTATTACCCAAGGGCAAGGATGTGCTGGTACCAGAGAATTCATAACAGATGAAAAAGTGCCCTGAAAGCTATCTTGGCAAGCACATATGTGCACACACAAACCAAAAGAGATTATAAGCTCTTTTTCCATTCTTGAATCTAAGTTAATAGAAAATTGGTGACTAATAAATGCACATGCAAACCAGTTTTGAAACTTTTAGAAACACACCCATGCCCAGTGGATACCAGATCTGAGAAAAATCTGGGATACAAATTAGGTAGGCAGAATAATTATTATTATTATTTATTCCATAACTCATTAGCCTTCTTTCCTTTCACAACATATTGGAGTATTTTATGACACAGACTGCACAGAAAAAAAGCAACCAACAGTTCTTCTACTGCTGCATGTGTATTCATTGCCATGGGAATGTGTTTACTGAGCTGTTGCGTAGCAGTGATTCCACTCTTCTACCTTTCTGGCGGGGTTTTTTTTTGGGGGGGGGGCGCAGAAAGCAAAGTGATCTTATAAGCCACCTTCTTAACATACATTCTCTATTTTTAAAAATAAAAGTATAATTATGTGATCACCTTGCTGTTTATGTATCCATAATTTTTATGTTTTCTATGTGGTCCATGTTGTATGAAAAGATAGTAGGTGATCGGTTCTTCTCAGACCTCCTTGTATTTTTTTTAACAAGGAATATAGGCTAATGGGATCACCTTGTTGTGTCTCCCCCCATCCCCAACTTTTGAATGCCTGCTTGAGACAAATAGCCCTATGAAGGCAGCGATGCCATTCACAAAAGTGATCATAGATATCACAGGTATGCTCTTCAGAGAAGGAGAATGGTGGTTTGCATGTAGGCTACTCAGGTTAATCAGCCTTTAGGGAGCAATGTGACATGTCACCTGAGAGCTTGAATATTCGAGCTAGAATTGTTATATTTTAATTTTTATAATGGAGTAAGTTTATTTTTAACCAATGCTAAGAAAATGCTTAACCCTGCCACCTTGAACTTACAGGGTCCCTAACATTTAAATTACATTCTTTGGCTCTTATCATAAAAGTAAGTATTTATGCCAGATTCACAATGTAAAGTTGCAAAGATGTGTTACTTAGTTTTGCCATGCCTGTCTGTCCATTTGTAACAACTTGAGAATAGCTAGCTAAACAGTTCATGAAATATATTAGGGAATTTTACTAAAAATTACTGAAACAGTCCAAATTTGGCTAGAAATGGACAAAAATAAACATTTTACATGTACATCTACATGCATTTCTGACCACATCTCTGTAAATGATATCAAAGTGAAAAGTGTTTTGAACAAAAGCTGTAGAAAAACATGAAACGTGCATTTCTTGCCAAACACACTTTCTCTTACAGTTTTCAAAATAATAAACAAAAGTGAATGAATCTGTCTGAATTGTTATGCTATGTCTACACTTCTTGTTATTTTTTAGTGTTCTGTAGTATGAAATATGGTCCAACAGTAAGTAAAAATTTTTGTTATAAGTTTTGCATTGTTTTCCTAATATTCTTCTAGCAGCAATTCTTGCAAATCAGTTTTACAGAACCAAAATCAATACATTTACGTATTAGTGCCACATCAGCTGTTAAAAGATTTCCAGTCTGCCTGATGCTGTACTCTTGGCCATCTGTGAGTTGCTTATGCATTAATAATTATAATATTTCAGGTGATTCAGAAGAATCAGCATTATCTATTACAAGAGCACCATTTCCTGTTGCTATGTGGGATGTAGGTCAGTGTGACCCAAAGAAATGTTCTGGACGCAAGCTTTCCCGTCATGGACTTATCAGGCCTCTGAGGCTAGGTCAAAGATTTGGTGGTGTTGTACTGACCCCAGTGGGAGAAAAGGTATATGACTTGGTTTCTTTTGAATATCATGAATGTGTTCACTCTCTGTAAATGTAAGACTTTCATAACATGACAGAAATTAATTCATATGGCCACAGCATGAATGGATTTTGAGTTAATTCCCCTTTTCCGACACAGTCTCAAGCTAGATGGAGCAAAGGCCATTTTCACTTTGCAGTATTGCACTAAGTTGTACATAAAATTTCTTTATTAAAACCGTCACAACACAACTATATTAAGGTCAGTGCCAAGTATGGCTCTGCTACATGTTGTACATATGTTGCAGTGTATCTCTCCCAGTGATCGGACCATCATATCTGCACATGGTCTAGCAGTAGTGGACTGTTCATGGGCAAAAATTGATGAGACACCCTTTACACAAATGAAATCAACACACTGCCGCCTTTTACCATTTCTTGTTGCTGCCAACCCAATTAATTATGGAAGACCATGTCAGCTGTCATGTGTGGAGGCCCTGGCAGCTGCTCTTCACATCACAGGTACACACTTAAAGCACAACAGTTACTATATGCAACACCCACTATAACATTAAGAAGTTCTGGCATTTGACTGAGAATACATTTGTTTCTCAGAATAAATAACAGTTAATTACCTGAACAACAGGTTGTTTGTAATATAGACTGTGATTTTTGTGAGGTAGGGACTGAATTATAAATACTATTTAGATTAAGTTCGGGCTTCAAAATGTAAGTAACCAACTCACTTCCCTGAGAAGTCGATACATACGCAGCTGTTGAAGAAATTTTGGAACCCCAAACCACTGAACTGCTATCAGTTTTTCCAACATCCATTCCTCATAGCACAAGCAGACTCTTTCCATTATATTCTTCAGTACATGTTCTGTACATACTTTTTGCCTGATGCATGCTGTACATATTGATTTTTTTCATTTACTCACCCCTACAAGATCAATCGAACTGCTTGTACATCTTGATTACCATGATCACATTTCTTGGGTCCAGACATTCTCAGTAGTTCTCCACAGTGAAAGGGTTGGTTCCATACACAAACCATAACTATCAGTACATCATTCCCTTGCTGAGTGCAGATTTAAAGTATACACAATTTTCCATCTGTATGCAGGTTGGCCAAATGTTGTATTTCGTTTATGCACACAATTAAAATTGCATCTTTGACACCAAGCGATCCACATTTGCTGGTGGCACGGTTGTTGGCATCCCCAACCAGTTTTTTAGTGTCAAAATTACCACTGCAGTGCGCCTTTCTCTGACACTTTATATTTTATCTCTAATTTATTTCAAAACAAATTTTCTGTTTAGTGAAGGCAGTTAGGTTTTGATGACTTCAAGCTGCAGCCATGGTTCCCTTAACCTCCCATAATACCCTGATCTCCCTTAATGAGCTTTTTCTTTTTTTTTTTTCAGAACTTTAAACCATTTGGTTAGTGAGAGATTGATGTACTGTATATAGAGTTTAATCTGTAGTTTCTCAGAAAGAAGCCAGTAAGTTAATAGAGATTCTGAACTGAAGGACAGACTGCACTTTCTGAGTTTTTCCACTTGCAATTACATCACACAGCTGCTTTATTTGTTACTGTCATTCTGAAATTTCAAATTCACCAGATCCTACAAATTTAGTGACAGTTGTATAGTAACTATAACTCCGTGGAGATGAGCCCTTCTTCAGAAGCTGCCAGTTGTGCAGCTATTCAAGAATTTCCCAACATTTTATGGAACCAAAAGGTTCATTACTGTGTTCATAAGAGCCCTCCACTGGCCCCTGTCTTGAGGCAGATCAATCCAGCCCCACCCCCTCCTCTCTTTCTAAGATTCCATTTTAATATTATCTACCCACCTATATATGTCCTGGTCTTCCTAGTGGTCTCTTTCCTCCTGGCTTTCCCACCAAAATCATATATGAATTCCTTTTCTGCCCCATTCGTACTGTATGCTCTGCTCATCTCATCCTCCTTGACTTGATCATTCTAATTATATTGGCGAAGGATATAAATTATGAAGCTCCTTATTATGCAGTTTTGTCCAACCTCCTGTCACCTCATCCCACTTTGGTCCAAATATTCTCCTCAGGTCCCTGTTCTCAAACACCCTCAGTATATGTTCCTCCCTTAATGTCAAAGACCAAGTTTTACCCATACATAACTGCAGGCAAAATTATAATTTTGTATGTTCTAATCTGTATATGTTTTTAGACAGCAGACAAGAAAACAAAAGGTTCTGGGCTGAATGGTAGAGGGCATTATCTGAGTTCAGTCTCCTCTTAATTTTGTCCTGAAATGTTACTGTCATTCCCAAATATTTGAACTGCGCCACATTTTCAAAGGATGTGTTGGGTATCTTTTATGTCGCCATCATTTTGCTCAGTATTCTGGTGGCAAGGCGGCAACAGACACTTAGTTTTCTCTCTGTTTACTTCTAGATCAACATCCTTACTAGTATCATTCAAAGTTTCTGCACTTTTTTATGGTATCTGTTATCTCCCAGTAGATTCACATCAGCATAAACCAACAGTTGATATGTCCCATTTAATTTCAGTCCCATCTAATGTTCCTGGACTGTCCAAATGGCATTGTAAAGCAAAGTTGAAGAGCAATGGTGATAAAGCATCTCTTTGTTTTGTAGAGGAAATGCATCAGAGAAAGTTTTACATATATGGACTTTACTATACTTTATTTAACCACATTTTAATTGGCCTAACTAGTTTCATGAGTACCCCAAACTCTATCAGAATACTGTACAATATTCCCCTTCTAACCGAATCATATAAATAGCTGATGTACTGCCTCATTGTACTCCCATTTTTTTCCAGTATCTGACAAATGAAAGATATCTGATCTATAGTTGATCTGTTATGCCAAAATCCACACTGATGATCCTCAATCATTTCATCTACATATCAACTTAACCTTGAGAGTATATTGGATAAAATTTTGTATGAAGTTGATAATAGTGATATCCCATGATAATTACTAGTCAGTTTTATCATCCTTCTTGTAAATTGATACAATTAATAGACTCCTTCCACTGATCAGGCATTTCTTCCTTATTCCAAATATAATTAATTAGTTTATGGATCTCAAACCATAATGTTTCATATACTGCTTATGTCGTAATTTTGTGGAAATTGCCATTCACAAAGAAATTAAGAACAAATTAAATCCAGGGAATGTCTGTTACCAGTAAGTTCTTAATCTTTTTGTCTTCCTGCCTGTCCACAAAAGAATGATCAAATCAAGGATGATGAGACAGGCAGGGTCTGTACTACAAGTAGTTACCAGAAAAGCCTACACAATTTTGGTTCAGAAATTTGAAGGAAAGAGATTTCTTCAAAGCCCTACACATAGATGGGAGTATATTAAAATAGATCTTATACAGGGCATGAGAATATGGATGGATTCATCTGGCTCAGAGTTTGGCTGTTGTGAACACAGTAATGAAACTTGTTCTGTAAGAGGTGAGGCATTTCTTGAATATCTGAGACAAGTAGCTTCTCAAGAATTTTGCTCTGGGTGTTGTTCCGGCTTTCCATTCTGGAGCATTAACGTGTATTTCGACCTTTTTACATTTATTTTTAGACTAATATTTTCAGTAATTTATTAAGAGCATTACCTTGTTATTCTTTATGCTCTTTAAGGGGTCACTTGCTACCAACTGGGGCCCAGGAGGGTTCCTGGTTTATTTGAAGCCTTATATCCGAAACAGGAAATTTACCTAGATGCATTTGCTGTTCTGTAATATATTGTGTCATGTTTTGTACAGCATTAGAGGTTGGGATATCTAAAGATTTTAATTGAAAATCAGGTTTTAAACAAGAAGCTGAGTTATACTTGAGCAAGTTCAAGTGGGGTAGTTCCTTCATCACTCTGAACCACACAATGCTAGATGTATATGCTGCATGCCAAGGGGACAGCTCGACTGTTGTTGCCGCTCAGAATAAATACTTAGAAGAAGCACGTCTTGAAAAAGAGTCACGTTATCGAGGTAAGTACAACAGAAACAAGGTTTTCTGTCAGGTCTGGTGGTTGAGTATAATAACTTGAATCTTTCCTGACTCATTTCAGTCAGTTTCAGGGTCATGACTATTGACCCATGTTTCATCAGCTGTTACAAAGAACTTTCCAACAGTTTCAGAAGCCATACACAAGCATTTTTCTTTCTGCTCCTGTGTCAACAGTTAGAGAATAAACTTAGCTAAGACATGCCTCATTTCCAAATCTTTGGTTATTGGCCTGACATGTCCTACAGCTTCAGCCATTATTCTGACATTCCATGTTATGTTATGTTTTTGCGGTAGTCATTCACTATTTTTACTGAAAGAAGAATGCCCATGATGCCTGCTGCTTTCAACAGATGTCTGTCCACCTTTAAAATGGACATGCTCAAGCATTATGTTCTGGGTGTGACCCTTTTGGTCTCACAGTTAATGCATACACACTTTTCTGTGTTTCAGGATATTACTAAATGAACACATCACATAAGCACACTAATTGAAGACCATGAATGACAGAGGCAAGGCAATGCACGGTAAACATGTCAGAACATGACTATCACAGGCATCCCTGTGCAGTGCAGTTTATCTGAGACATTAATTCAGTTTGTATTTCTGAAACAGGCCTCATGTTATAAACATCTTTGCAAGGTTAGATTTGTCTCCAACATCAAGACCAGAGAGATATGCAAACAATTAGAGAATGCATTTGGAGTGTACTGTGTGTTATTCCACTGTATTACACATTTTGCCATTTGTCCTGCTTTAGAGTAGATCATTTGTTCATGTCTATTTATAAGAAAGCAACTTTCCTGTTCCCTGCCATGAACTTAATAGAGAACACCAAAAGATATTATGAAATTTNCCGAATCATATAAATAGCTGATGTACTGCCTCATTGTACTCCCATTTTTTTCCAGTATCTGACAAATGAAAGATATCTGATCTATAGTTGATCTGTTATGCCAAAATCCACACTGATGATCCTCAATCATTTCATCTACATATCAACTTAACCTTGAGAGTATATTGGATAAAATTTTGTATGAAGTTGATAATAGTGATATCCCATGATAATTACTAGTCAGTTTTATCATCCTTCTTGTAAATTGATACAATTAATAGACTCCTTCCACTGATCAGGCATTTCTTCCTTATTCCAAATATAATTAATTAGTTTATGGATCTCAAACCATAATGTTTCATATACTGCTTATGTCGTAATTTTGTGGAAATTGCCATTCACAAAGAAATTAAGAACAAATTAAATCCAGGGAATGTCTGTTACCAGTAAGTTCTTAATCTTTTTGTCTTCCTGCCTGTCTACAAAAGAATGATCAAATCAAGGATGATGAGACAGGCAGGGTCTGTACTACAAGTAGTTACCAGAAAAGCCTACACAATTTTGGTTCAGAAATTTGAAGGAAAGAGATTTCTTCAAAGCCCTACACATAGATGGGAGTATATTAAAATAGATCTTATACAGGGCATGAGAATATGGATGGATTCATCTGGCTCAGAGTTTGGCTGTTGTGAACACAGTAATGAAACTTGTTCTGTAAGAGGTGAGGCATTTCTTGAATATCTGAGACAAGTAGCTTCTCAAGAATTTTGCTCTGGGTGTTGTTCCGGCTTTCCATTCTGGAGCATTAACGTGTATTTCGACCTTTTTACATTTATTTTTAGACTAATATTTTCAGTAATTTATTAAGAGCATTACCTTGTTATTCTTTATGCTCTTTAAGGGGTCACTTGCTACCAACTGGGGCCCAGGAGGGTTCCTGGTTTATTTGAAGCCTTATATCCGAAACAGGAAATTTACCTAGATGCATTTGCTGTTCTGTAATATATTGTGTCATGTTTTGTACAGCATTAGAGGTTGGGATATCTAAAGATTTTAATTGAAAATCAGGTTTTAAACAAGAAGCTGAGTTATACTTGAGCAAGTTCAAGTGGGGTAGTTCCTTCATCACTCTGAACCACACAATGCTAGATGTATATGCTGCATGCCAAGGGGACAGCTCAACTGTTGTTGCCGCTCAGAATAAATACTTAGAAGAAGCACGTCTTGAAAAAGAGTCACGTTATCGAGGTAAGTACAACAGAAACAAGGTTTTCTGTCAGGTCTGGTGGTTGAGTATAATAACTTGAATCTTTCCTGACTCATTTCAGTCAGTTTCAGGGTCATGACTATTGACCCATGTTTCATCAGCTGTTACAAAGAACTTTCCAACAGTTTCAGAAGCCATACACAAGCATTTTTCTTTCTGCTCCTGTGTCAACAGTTAGAGAATAAACTTAGCTAAGACATGCCTCATTTCCAAATCTTTGGTTATTGGCCTGACATGTCCTACAGCTTCAGCCATTATTCTGACATTCCATGTTATGTTATGTTTTTGCGGTAGTCATTCACTATTTTTACTGAAAGAAGAATGCCCATGATGCCTGCTGCTTTCAACAGATGTCTGTCCACCTTTAAAATGGACATGCTCAAGCATTATGTTCTGGGTGTGACCCTTTTGGTCTCACAGTTAATGCATACACACTTTTCTGTGTTTCAGGATATTACTAAATGAACACATCACATAAGCACACTAATTGAAGACCATGAATGACAGAGGCAAGGCAATGCACGGTAAACATGTCAGAACATGACTATCACAGGCATCCCTGTGCAGTGCAGTTTATCTGAGACATTAATTCAGTTTGTATTTCTGAAACAGGCCTCATGTTATAAACATCTTTGCAAGGTTAGATTTGTCTCCAACATCAAGACCAGAGAGATATGCAAACAATTAGAGAATGCATTTGGAGTGTACTGTGTGTTATTCCACTGTATTACACATTTTGCCATTTGTCCTGCTTTAGAGTAGATCATTTGTTCATGTCTATTTATAAGAAAGCAACTTTCCTGTTCCCTGCCATGAACTTAATAGAGAACACCAAAAGATATTATGAAATTTAGTCTGTATTCGTCATAATATCTATGGTTGCCACAGCTGTTAAATCCCAACTGTTTTCAATTATACAAGTAAATTTTAATTTGCCAATGAGTCTTCCTCCTCCTACAGTATGCGCCAAAATGTGCAGTAATGAAACTTGCGCATTATGCGTTTGTCGATGGGGCACAGCTCCAGCCGCATGTGTTCCCAGTAGTGAAAAGGAAGTTGTGTTGTGCAGTTGTTGGAAATGGGCCTCTCAATGGAGGAAAAGTATTCATAGTTGAGTATTATTTCCGCTCATATGGAAGTGGTCGCCAGACAACTCACTTCCTCGATTTTGAGCAGCCAGATGTCCAGAAACGCTACATAGTACATGTGTGACGATATGGTGTGCCATCTCAGCACATGATATATTAGGCCCCTATTTAATTGAGGATGCTCTTACCATCACCCAAGAACACTACAGGGACATGGTGATCGGACATTTCTTCAGCATTTGAGAAGGTTCTGTCATGCGAGGGGCCTTCACATGAATAGACAGTGGTATCAACGGGACATGTTTTCATTTCAGTACTGTAATTTTGGCACATAATGTATAAGGTTTTAGCTGACTAATTTTTTTTAATTCACTTAGTGGAGTCCAACTGGGTCTACTTGGCATGGCGGCCACTGATTGGCCTATTGTAGCCTGCCCCGGGTAATTATGATGGAGAATTTGGTGGAATGAAGATTGGCAGGGGAAACCGAAGTTCTCGGAGAAAACCCGCCCCAGCACCACTCTGTCCACCACAAATCCCACTTGACCAAACCTGGGATCGAACCTGGGCCGCCGTGTTGGGAAGCCAGTGAATAACCACTTAAGCTGTGGTGCAGCCCTTTAGCTAACTAAGACTAACTTCACGGAGCCGAGTCCTTCTTGAGAAGCCGCCAATGCAGCTACTCAAGAACTTCCCAGAATTTTATGGAACCTGAGGGTTGATTACCATGTTCACAAGAGCCCTCCACTGGTCCCTATCCCAAGCCAGATTGATCCAGTCCATACCACTCCGACCTATCTCTCTCTCTCTAAGATCCATTTTAATACTGTCCACCCACCTGTGTCTTGGTCTCCCTAGTGGTCTCTTTCCTTCCAATTTTCCCACCATTATTCTATATGCATTCCTCTTCTCCCCCATTCATGCTACATGCCCTGCCCATCTCATCCTCCTTGACTTAATCGTTCTAATTTGATGATGAATATAAGTTATGAAGCTCCTCGGTTTTCTTCAACCTTCTGTCACCTCACCTCCCTTCAGTCCGAATATTCTCAACACCCTCACTCTATGTTTGTTTCTCCTGTAATGTCAGAGAGACCAAGTTTCACACCCATACAGAACCACAGGCAAAATTATAGTCTTGTGTATTCTAATTTTTATGTCCTTTAACAGCAGATGAAAAGACAGAAGGTTCTAGACTGAATGGTTGCAAGCATTGCCTGAATTCAGTCTCCTCTTAATTTCCTCCTGAATCAAGTTTTGATTTGTTACAGTTGTTTCCAAATATCTGAACTGTGCCACACTTTGAAAACATCTCTGTTACCAATCTTTATGTCAGGATTTTGTCCTGCATTCTGATGATGATACAGCAACATACGAAGGGGGACCCAAAAATAACCGGAAACGACCTGTTGCGCACGATGCTTTGTAGTTACGAGTTGTGCTGCTAGGTGGTGTTAGCTGGGGGTCTCCCGCGACTGTTAGTGAGCTGGCGTCAGTCTGAGTTAAGTGGTTTGTCTGTGGTGCTCTGTTGTGTGCGTTCCTGTTTCAACCCTTTGGCGATTAGTGAGATGGCCGACCAGAAGGAACAAAGAGTGTGCGTGAAATTTTGCTTTCTGTTAAGGAAAACTGCAGCCGAGACTGTTGGGATGCTTCGGCAAGCCTTTAATGATGATGCTTTGGGGAAATCACAGGTCTACGAGTGGTTTTCCCATTTCAAATCTGGCAACATGTCAACAGAAGACATGCCACGCCCCGGGCGTCCTTCGACAGGAAGAAATGACGAAAACATTGCCAAAATCAAACGTGCAATTGATGAAGATCGTCGAAAGACCATTGACCAACTTTCTGAGGAAACGAACATCTCATGGAGCACGGTCCAGCGAATTTTAACCGAAGGTTTGCACACGAGACGGGTGTCTGCAAAATTTGTTCCTCGCTTGCTCGGAGATGACCAAAGAGAAAACCATGTGAATGTTTGCCGCGACTTGAAGAGTGAAGTGCAGAACGATCCAGAATTTCTTAAAAGAATTGTTCCTTCTGGTCGGCCATCTCACTAATCACCAAAGGGTTGAAACAGGAACGCACACAACAGAGCACCACAGACAAACCACTTAACTCAGACTGATGCCAGCTCACTAACAGTCGCGGGAGACCCCCAGCTAACACCACCTAGCAGCACAACTCGTAACTACAAAGCATGCGTGCACAACAGGTCGTTTCCGGTTATTTTTGGGTCCACCCTCGTATACTTAGTTTTCTCTTGTGTTTACTTTTAGACCAACCTTCTTACTAGTGTCAATTTAAAGTTTGTTTTTTCTTTATGGTATCTGTTATCACCCACTAGATTCAAATCATCAACACAGACTAGTAGCTGATGTGTCCCATTTAATTTCAGTCCTAGCTGGTTTTTCTGGACCTTCCTAATGGCATATTCTAAATAAAGTTTTAGCTACTATACTTGTATATTGTGATACTGACAAGGAAACAATCACATCCCAGGCAAAAAGGTACTTCTGCTTGTTGGCTTATAAAATGATTTTAACATATTCTCAGTGTGTCTAAACAACAGCATATAGAGATATCTAATTAGACCTGCTCATGTTTTCCACCATTCTTACAATCTAACATTAAAACTTTGAACAGGAATCCTGTTCTTGCCCCCAAAACTGCAAAAGCAGCACTTGCATTTTGATCCTGTTTGGAATTTTTGTAACTTATTTCTGAAGACCATAATATGAATCACCAATGGCATGAAACCCTCACATACTGTCTTCAAACTGATCTGCCAATTCAGTCTTTACTTAAGACATGAAAATGTCAACCATGTGTTTACTCATTTTGAGTATGGCTTCACAGCAATGCTTGTGCCAGCCGAGCAGGTGCATCCCTTAGTTTGTTACTGGTGACTGAAGGCCATGCCATAGCTCAGGCAGTGAGATGCTGGCTTCCCACCGCAGTGGCATTGGGGCAAGTTTTCTCCTAGTACTTCGGTTTCCCCTGCCAGTCTTCATTCCACCAACTGCTCCACAATCACCATCATCTATCATCTGGGGCTGCTGCAATAGGCCAATTGTGGCCACAGTACCAAGTGGAATCAGTCTCACCCCACTCACTCACTCACTCACGGAGCTGAGCCCTTCTTCAGAAGATACTGTTCAGATACTCAAAAACTTCCCAGAATTTTATGGAACCAGAAGGTTCATTACTGTGTTCACAAGAGTCCTCCACTGGTCGTTATCCTCAGCCAGATCCATACCATCCCATCCTATCTCTAAGATCCATTTTAATATTGTCCACCCACCTATTTCTTGGTCTACCTAGTGGCTCTTCCCTTCTGGCTTTCCCACCAATATCCTATATGCATTCCTCTTCTCCTCCCATTCATGCTACATGTCCTGCCAATTTTTCTCCAACCTCCTGTCACTTCCTGACATCTCTCTTCGGTCCAAATATTCTCAACACCCTGTTCACAAACACCTTCAGTCTTATGTCAGAGACAAAGTTTCACACCCACACGGAACCACAGGCAAAATTATAGTTTTGTATATTCTAATTTTTTTTACATAGCAGACGAGAAGACAAAAGGTTCTGGACTAAGTGGTAGCAAGCATACCCAAGTTCAGTCTCCTCTTAATTTCCTCCTGAATGAAGTTTCAGTTTCTTATTCATTCATTCATCAGTAATCTGTCAGACGATAGGGCACAGTCTCTTCTAAAACAGTTCCTCCACTTAATGCGATCTCAAGCTTTCTCCTTCAAATAAAGTCATCCAGCATCTTCTTATGTCTTCTGGTCATTTCTATCCGGCCCTCCGGTTTGTTTTTTCTCCAGAGAAAACATCTCGCATACACGGTATCTGTTTTTGTAAAGAGACTATCCAGGAAAAGTGATAGTGTGGTAGTTTTTCCATTTGGTTTCCACATCGTAGTACAACAGCCATTCAAACCACTCTGGTCGCGCCTGTTGCTATACGAACTTGAACCATCTCGAGCATCATTTGCTCTGTGATTCAAGTCACTTCTGATGACGCTGCTTCCGGCATCATTTCTTATAGTCGTTCCCAAATATCTGAACTGCCAGATTTTCAAAACCTATCTTCATGTCATGATTTTGCCCTGCATTCTGGTGACAAGACAGCAACATATACTTAGTTTTCTATGTGTTTACTTCCAGTTTGTTTTTGTTTATGGTATCTATATTATCAACCAGTAGATTCACATTGTCAGCATAGACAAACAGCTGATGTGTTCCATTTCATTTCAGTTCCACCTGGTTTTCCTGGATCTTCCTAATGGCATATTCTAAAGTAAATTTGAAAAGCAGTGGCAATAAAGCAGTTCCTTGTTTTAGACCATCCTGAATAGGAAAAATTATCAGACAAATGTTTACCTATATGGAATTTACCATATGTTTTGTTTAAATACATCAGCCTAACTAGCTCACCCCACTAAAAATAATAAATATAAGAAATGATACTGGTGACTGATCTTGCTGCTGTCCTCTGCAGATGTTCCAGATTTTCTGTCGTCGTCATCATCATCATCATCATCAGAAAATGAAACCACTATTGATGAACAAAATATATGTGGTATAAAAGAAGACAGCAGTGCAAATACATAGTTCCTTCTTGGATCACCGTTTAGCTAAATATAGAATATTTCATCAATAGACATCAAAGTCAATTTTCAGTTATCAAGCTCCCTCCTATGAAAATACATTAAAATTACAGCCAGTCTGTCCTGTTTCTGTTATCTTACCTGTTGGTCCTCATTGGTGGATACTGAGAAATAAAATGCATTCTTTGGGCTAGGAAAGACCAAGATGACAAAATACTAGCATAATCTAAGCAAGATGTTCAGAACTTCTTTGAAATGTGGTACTTCTGTTTGGTTATTAACAGTCAGTTAACATCTGAAACTAAATAAACTATTAAACAATGTGGAATGGGAGTGAAGGTTGAAAGACATAAAATTAATTTACATCTTCAGCTATCTGTCTCAAGGAGTCAGGGTAAGTACAAAATATGCAACACAAGCACAAAGAAAATTGTTTTAAATGTAATGTATTACTGAAAGTGCATAATACATTATGAAATAAAACATTCAACTTCCTGTAGCCAAGTTAAATTTGCACAAGAAATTAAAGAAAAAGATGTTACATAATCTTCAAGAGTATTTCAATTTACCAACATTTCCCTTAGGTTAAATTAATTCAAAATATATTGGGCATTTAATTAAGGATGTAACTGAAAACATATTTGTATCAATTCCCTCTGCAACAGCAGAGTTTGTGTAATGACAAAATTCCAGAGTAATTTATAAAATTTATACCCAAACATTACATGAAAATTCTGTGACCAGACTTATCTCGCAAGTGCAGTGCTCAATTCATTGTGCAACACTACTGCAACAGAGACAGGAATGATAACTTTTCCACATGACTGACACTCCTTTAAAACCAGTCCTTCCCTTGTACGAACAGTGGGTATCTACTTCACATTACAGAGCACTGACAGTATACAAAATGGTAATTGTATATTTAAGATGCCATACTGGAGAGTTGCATGATCTGTGTTTATTTTGTTCTACATGTATAGTAACTTCTACAGAACTGTTAGCAAATGCATTCTAAATTCTAAATACAGTTCTGATCTGATTTTTTTTCCTCAACGTGCTGTAAAGACAGCTCTCCCCAGTATGACAATCACTTCACTATACTCCAGTAAGCTATGCCCTAACCAAGAAATTAAATTTAGTGAGAAAGTCAAAAATGGCAAAACTTTCACCATTTTAGGGGATAGAAATTATACAAACAAATATGAGACTACTTTTCTTCTTGTACTTATTCAACAGACACTACATCTAACTAAGCAACTAATAATTCCAAGAAACACTGATGATACAGTACAGTAATAAGTATACTAACTAGTCAGAAACTGAAGCGACGGAACTCGATCCATCGGACAGATGAACTCTTGCAGCAATTTTTTCATATGTGTAGTGCACATTCACAACCACAGCAAATTAAAACACAGGTAATACAGAATGTAATTTGGAATGCTCCTTCATTCACTGCTACAATGCACACTACAACTATCGAATCTGCAATACTATTTTTACTTGCATTATAATACTCAAATTAACTGTCTAACAATTGATGGTTGTAGCAAATGACAAAATAAAGGAACATTTATAAATAAACTGTACAGAGTAACTCCAATGCATATTTGTGTGCAAAGTTCTTTCCTAAATGGAGATGTAAAATTCAGCATTAGTTTTCTATCCAAACAAAAGTAAAAGTGCCAATTAGACTCGACCAAACTTGTTTCGATACCGTGCCATTATGGTTCACAGTGATGAGGCACTGGAAAGAATAACACACTGCCTCACTTGCTCATTAAGAGATTCGGAAGGATAAGAGAATTAGGATGGCATTGCCTCAACAGAATGAACTGGCAGACATACAAAGTTTCTTTTGCTTTCAGCCCACAATGTGATTTGTTACCAAGCATGTATATACATATGAATGTCACATCTCACAAAAAACTGGAATCTGAAAGAATAATTTGTGAGCATAATGTTAAATTCATTCTCATACAATAAAATCTATCAGAGTCCCACCTCTCCCCCCACAGCATAACCACTTTAAAACGTTTTCTTCTTTAAGATACTCTACAATTTTGCTACTCACAAACATATGAAATAACAAAGTGGCAGCTCAAGATTAATGAATCAAAATTCAGAATTCTGCTACTTGTGTGAAAGATGAGGTCTGGGAAGATAAAATATGGGGAGGAGGGGGCAAACAACACAGATTATTTTGTGAAAAGAGAGGTCTGCTCACAACATGACACCCAAATTCAAAAGTATGCAGTAGACCTCAGTGTTGGGCTGCTAAACACATGCCTCCTGTCAAAGTAATTATTATATACATTTTACTTGTTCAGAAGGTAAGGAAATAGCTCACAACAAGAATTACAGCTACAATTTGTTTCAGGGCAAAATTAAATTAGAAGATGGAAATTCTTACTGATTCTGCCTCACATTCACCCAAAATTATTTTCTCTTTGAATAAAACTGTTGTACTGAATACAGGCTTAAGAGACCAGATGTGTGTGTATATAGACACACACAGTTTGCTGCCAGAAATGGATTGGGGAAAGGACAAGGGCAATGATATAAGGCAGAACAAAGGAACATGGAGCAAGGTCATAATCAACTAATATAATGTCTGATCATATGTTCAAACCTTCTTCGTTGACCACCAACATTATAATATATTTTTGTTATAAAAATTTCCCACTGATTTTCCTCTTCTTTCTTTACATTTTCTTCCACACCTCATCATTCACTGTCATCTCTGTGGGGGGAGTGGGAATCAAATAATTACTACCTAATAGTATTATGCATTCATAACCAAAATATCCATCAAATGCAATTCCCTGATGTCCATGAAAGTAAAAATCAGTGATAGCAATTGCTTCACAAATACATGATCCATCCCTCTTTACTTATGATGAATTACACAGAATGACACACATGAAAAAAGCAAAAAATGTCAGTGATGTTATTGTTACAAACCAGAAATGTTCAGTTCCCCATTTTGGGACCACAGTACATCCAATAAGCCTCCTGAGCTTTGCTGTATGAGATGGAAATGCCTAGCCACACTGCAGATTCACTGCATGATGAGAGGTCTCTGATACTGCAGAAAATTCTGAATACAGTGACTCACGACCTATTTGGCAGATGCTACAACTATAGCAATGATGAGCAACATGTAATCCAGTGGATATAAGACTTCAGACTTTCACAGGAGTGAAGATTCATATTGTAGTCTTTTACATCACAATGTTGTGTTGTCCGATTGGTGGGTGCCAACATTTCAAGGGAACACACTATCTCCATCTTCAGAGTAGAAGTGAGAAAAGTTTTGACAACTGGCAGATTATATAAAAAGTGGGATGAAACCCATCATGAAAGATAGATAGAAGTGTCCAATCAGAGGCCACAATAGGGCTGCTTTCTCTTCTACCCTGATGGAGGAGGCAGTACATTCCTCTGGAATACTGGTATGCATCTACCAGACAACAGTGTTCCAACCCAGAAGACAACGCACCATTAATTTTGACAGTGAATTTTATAAGCAGTTTGTATCGGCTCCTACTGCACCACTGCATATTTCTTGGTTCAGTAAGAATTAAATACATTAAATGCAAAGTCCCAACATAATTAGTTATATATGTAGCATATGACCCTAAAGTCAAAAAAAAATATTTAATAATATCAGAACAAGAACTTCCAATTGCCTCCCTTCCAATATTTAACCAAATTTAACCAAACTAATAAATACCAACATATAATGCAAAAGCACTTCCTGTGAAAATGCTATTTTTCTTCACACACAAACTGAAAAAGTAAATTTATGTAAATTTATTTCTATTTCACACACATATCTATAGCACATTCTAGAAAATATTACTAACTAAATGCTACCTTACTGAAACATGATACTCATCACTGTTAAATGTAACTGATGTAATTAAGAACTAAATATAACATTAATTATCCAGCCAAAATCAGCCAATTACCTGAGAAATGTTTAATGCTAAAATCTCAGATCTCTCAAACCTGCAGAATACAGAACTAATCTGCTTCCATTATACTAAATGAATGTTATCTGACTTTGCTGGACATCAGTGGCAAGGGACGTTGAATGAGTCCATCAACAAAAGCATGAAATACAACAAAGGTAAGTCTCATCAGCACCTACTCCACCTTTCATGTCAAAATACTTCCACTTCAAGACAACCTAATGAGAACAAGATCGTCTGTTTCAGCAACCTGTCCTTAAAGAAGGCAGCTCAAAGTGAATCCTACCACTAAGTAATGTCAAAATATGAGCACAGATAAATGTGACAAGCAGACAAGCAGCTACAGGTCATTTGAATACCATGAGCAATCTACACAGCCCTCTTTTCAACTATCACACTAATACACTGAGGAAGATAATAATGAAGAAAAGAAGGCATTTCTACAGTGAAACCTATAGCAACAACTGAACACATAACCACTTTCCACCCTCTTCATTCCAACCTTGCTCATATCAGCTACAAATTAATTTGTGTGAAAAATATGATCATGATAAATGCCTTGGTATTAAAAATAAAAAAAAAACACATTATTCCAATATGCCAGAAAATGTAAAAAGCAAGGATATAACACACAACACAAAATCACAACATGACAGTAAATAGGTATAAGGTGTCAGGGTTACAACAGCATGCCTGTGTGGGAAAAATTAACTGTTGAAGCATTCCAACAATTTACAAATTTCTTGTGTTCTCAGCATTATATGTTTGTTCTTAACACTCCGTGCCTGCTCTTCTAGTGGTCTCTATACAACACATGGCAGGGGTTTTATATTTTTTTTTTCCTACCAAGTGTATTTCCTCTTTAATTTTTGCACAAATTATTTGCAGCTGTTTGGAGTGAAGTTAAAAATGAGAACGATGGGAAAACCAAAGAATTTCTTAGGGAATAATTATAATGGTATCCATTATAATGGATACCATTTCCTGAACCTCTAGTTGATTCTTATGTAGTACTATTTAATAAGTGACATTTGTTTTGCATCAATGACAAATCAATGCCAAAGGTGAAAAAAAATTAAAGCCTACCAACAGCAGCAGCATCACAAATTTTTAATCACAATTCCCACAGACTCTTATCATATACACAAACAATTTAATCTCTTCACTCTCTTCAGTAGTTCTAGGGTTTCTGATTCTGTTCTTGATTACAAAGTTTTTCAAACCAATCTAACTCCTCAATTTGCAGAAGACTTAATACAACATAGAATTAAACACTGTTAACACTTCATATGGACTGATAAATTAAACATTCCTGCCTTTGAAGAACTACACCATAAAACAGTATACCTGATCTAATATTTAAACTTCTATCATCTGCTGATCCCTTACCACAATGAATTGGTCAACCTATTAATTTCTGTACAAACTTCAACATTCACACTTAAAAACACATGCATTAATGCCAATCCATACCTGCCAATCTCAAAATTTCAAAAAACTGAGAATGTTGTGTGAACTCTTCTGAGCTCTTTTAGCACCTTAATAATTATCAGCATTTTAAAAGAAGAAAATGTGAAGCAAGTGCATTTCACTATAGTCCTTTATCAAGAAGAGACACTGTAATAAACTGTGCCCTATTTAAAAAGTGATTCAAAAGTTTGGTACACAGATACACACAGTGAATATGCCAACACAACATCCATTAGTGCCTCCAGCAAGATCCAGTGGAAAGTATGTCTTTTCAGACTAAAAACCAGAATGTGTTACACTGCTGCATGAATGCACAGTCATTTTTACTACAATGCGATCGCTTCATACTTGAAAAACTGGAAACATGTCATGTTCTTACACATGGCAGGTATGTTAATGGCATGAATATCCAGCCTTGGTTTCAATTTCTTTTCAAAGTATCAAAACACATAACTCATTTCAGCATACAACTTCTGATGATATGCCACAAACGAACACCAGTGATGAATCGAGCTCAAAAGATAAACTGTTCAAATAATTTTCTTTATGCATTTTATGAAGAGTACACAGACAGCACAGTATAATGGTAAAATATGGTACATAGGTACATACATACTCACTCTTTGATCGCATCCCTTAGGAACTCAACAATAGTCTCTTTCCGATTTTGCATTTTAAAAACAATAGGTGCTGGATAGTACATCTCTTTGTTGTTTGCAGACCAGCCAGAGTACTGCAACAAATGTACACAAAAGAGGTCAACCTCTGCCACAGAAAACAAAAATATATATCGTTTGTATCTAATTTCAGAGAAAATCATACTTTACTCTACGAATAAGAATAAAACTCAGACTGAAATCATAATTACTGTCATTGCTTTCATCCACAGCCAATAATTCATTCCTATTTGAATCAGTTTCTACAAATTCTCCACTTTCTAAGATGCCTGAAGAATCATGGTTCCTGACTCTTGATTGCTACTTAACACCACGGTTTTGTACTAAAATTCCTACTCGTCTGCACAGTAGAAAACTGTGAATCCCCAGTCATGCATGCCTGCACACAGGTGTGTGTGTGTGTGTGTGTGTGTGTAGGACAAGATCTAATTACATACAAGTATAAGCATCATGTTCTATGCTTACAGGCAAGCAGAAGCAAGGCAGGAACTGTCATAAATATATGGTCTCAACCACTCTGTTAGCATGATATGACAACAGGAAGTACAAGAAAAATATACAAATAAAGTTTTTGTGCCTAAAGAATTCATTAGCTGCAAACTGAAGTGTCTGGCCGCTTACTAACGGCCTACAAAAGATGCTGAAATGGTTCACCATTATAGTCAATGCATAAATCAGACCTGTTCAGCTGAGAATTCCTGGTCTATCATTCTAGCCACTTAATGGCATTCCACAGCTTGTCATGCATGCTGGATCATTGGCAGTAAATGACACTCTTAAGATGGCCCCACAAATAGAAGTCAAGTGAAGGCCCAGTGATCATAGTGGCCTCACAAATGATTCATTTTGTTCTATCCTTCAACCTGGGCAATGGTAGTCTAAACACCACATGACATGACAGGTCTGTAGACAATGATTACTTTACTTGTGCAACCTTGCAGTTGCCATCTCACTGACAAAGCAGCTGCAACCATATATTTATACGAACATTTCTGCTTCCCTATTAAATGTGGAACACAATGCCTACATTTAAGGTATGTAATTAAGGCTTGCATTGTGTCTATTTTTACACCTGACTGCCAATGTTTTCTGTATTGTCTTGAAAGCAGCACTGCAGCAGGCTATCTGGAGAACCCCTATTTGAAGTACATGAAACTGCTACCACAAAAGATGGTACTTGTTTAGTACCTCTCTCTCTTCCACACGCATGCACACACACCCTGAATCATTATATATCTAACACTCATTATAACAGAAATACGAGGGTTGGAACTTTAATAGTGGCAACACTGCTGTAGAGATGTCATGCAACAGAACCAAATAATGTCACTTATACCACACGTTAGTTACATACCTACCTTACCTCAGAGCAAATGGACTCTCCCTTCCCACATCACGCGCATGCGCAGTGACAAGAAGAACAGAGCCTCATGTTAGCTGGCGGTCTAATGTAGTGTTGTCACCATGTTTTCGAAACAGGAACATCAGAGTTGGATAAAGATTGAATGTGCCAGAGGCTGTACAGCACAACAGTGTCATCAAGGTCTTCAAGAGGCTTGCGGGGAATCTGCATTGCCTTACAGAAGAGTGGCAAGGTCGGTAAAAGCCTTCAATGAGGGACGCCAAAATGTGGCAGACATGCGTCAGGCAGGTCATCCTAGTGTCAGTGAAGAAGAAGTCTATGCTCTTTCTGTGTTAGATGAGAGTGATCAACGCCATACAATTCGTGAGCTGGCCCGAGAGACAGGATTAACGCATATGACTGTGCTTCACATTCTGAAGGAATGCCTGGGCATGAGAAAAATTGCATCACGATGAGTTCCACATGATTTGACAGAAATGGCTAAAATACGATGCTGCTCATAACCACTTGGAGCGCTATGAGCGCGAAGGAGAGGCTTTCTTACGCTGTATCATTACGCTGATTGAGACATGGGCCAAATCATATGAGCCACAAATGAAACGCCAATCGAACAAATGGCGTCATTATGGGTCACCACGAAAATCTGAAGTTCATCAGAACCTCAGGATGTGAAAGTTATGGTGATTCTCATGTACAAGTGTGATGGTGTTATCCTAACGCATACCATTCCCTGACAGCAGACCATCAATGCGCAGTATTACTGTTCATTTTTGGAACACAACCTGTGACCAGCTTAGAGAAAGAAGCGGTAAGAATTTCTGCAGAACCCACCCATCATTTTGCAGGACAGTGTTCAGCCACATGCAGCGCAAGCTGTGGCTCATGTGTTCGATCGATGGGGCTGGGAAGTGCTGTACCATCCACCATACTCCCCGGACTCAAGCCCTTGTGACTTCGACTTGATTCCTAAGATGAAGGAACCACTTCGTGGCACTCGCTTCAGAACTGTTCCAGAGAGTCTTCAGGCAGTAAGCCTGCTCCATTCAAACTATCAACACAACAGGTGCTGCTAAAGGTATCCTAAAACTTCCACATCCCTGGCAACGGGTTCTACACAACGCTGGTGACTACACTGAAGGACAGTAAGACTTTGAAACATGAACCTATTTTGGGTCAGTTGTAAATAAATAGTTGCCACTATTAAAGTTCCAACCCTCATAACTATAGTGCTGCACTCTAAGAATGAACTTATCATTCCACATAATAAAATGTGGGCAGTGCATACCCAAGACTTAAGCAACACTCTGTACACATCAAATATAATTTGTACATTGGAATTCCAAAATATAACTACACATTAAGCGCATGATATATATTTCTTTCTAATGGGTGAAAATGCTTCCTCCCAAAACTACTGAATAGACAAATGATGGTGTCAGTTGCAGCATACTCACTGTGGATGTATTCTTGTAAAGGGTCTTCCCATCCTGTTCAAATGGGACATACTTCTGCAGCAGAGCTTTTCCATCAATTTTCCAGATGGGAGGGTCTCCTCCATTCTGGAAATCCGTCTTCAGAACCACGAATGCCCCAGACTGAAAGAAACATGTATACAATTGTAAGATTTGAGGCTTTCACGGCGGTGACTATGAAGAATGCAGTCTTCTGGGATTTGGCACCGTGTATATGTGGTGTTAACCGACGTTTCGGAGGAACGTATCGCCCCCATCTTCAGGGTTGAAGAAAAAGTATAAGTAAATCTGCAAGCGACAACACCGTGAGACACGATAAAGCAGACTGCTTTATCGTGTCTCACGGTGTTGTCGCTTGCAGATGTACTTATACTTTTTCTTCAACCCTGAAGATGGGGGCGATACGTTCCTCCGAAACGTCGGTTAACACCACATATACACGGTGCCAAATCCCAGAAGACTGCATTCTTCATGTATACAATTTTCAGCTTTACCCCAAAATATTACAATCATCATTTGATAACAGTAGTCAAATCCATGAAAACACCTTACTTGAAACTTCATGTACAATGAAAGTGGACTCCAGTCAGAACAGACCATTATGCAAACATAACAGTCCTTGGGACCTGAGGCTCTCAATGCAGGGAAAATTAATTACAGCCAGGTGCCAATGTTTTGGAGGAACACAATACCTCCATCTTCAAGGCAGAAATATTTTTATGTGACTATTCATATTTACCACACTGTGTAGCAACACATGCCAGAAGACTGTAACCCCCAGCTGAGGCCATTTAAACTAAACCTGCTGGCAGCTATCACATCAAGTCTCAAAGAATATTCTTACTGCCCTATTTCAATATCACTGTAATGCATTCAAATGAAAATTTTCATAAAAGTAGCAATATATAAAAACAAACAGGTATTTTCTTTCTCAGTGAAAAATAATGAACAGAACAGCAGACAAATTTTGGAAGTTACACTATGGTATTCTAATTTTTCACAGAAGAAGCAAAACAGCTGTTATAAAAATATTAAAATTATTTTTACAGTGCATCTTCTATGAGACAAGTGAGGACAAAAGAACATTTGCCAGGTATGAACTGAAAACTTACAGGTGACATTCACAGATTACATGAAAATTCTTCCCTTAGGTTTTCTCAGATGTTTCTCAATATGGGGGATGCTTGCACACTTTACATTTGAGCTCCTTATTCTCACAGAATTTAAACAAGATCAGTGGTGTACTCTCTTCGAACAGAAGGCTTTTTTTCTTTCATTGCTGATAAAAATTACTCCATTAAGTGATCAAATTTTAACAATTAGGTCTTCTTCATGACTAATAACAAATACAAAATATCCCCATAAATCAAGTTGGTCTAACGATTCACAGCTTCACAAAAAAAAAAATGTAAATAAATACTAATCCTGTCAATGCTCACAGTGAATTCTTTCTCAGTTGGCGTGGGAAGAGTTGGTGCACCCGTGGTTGACGTAGCCTCACAACTGACAATGCTGTCAGTGGGTTTCCCCTTTGGTTTGGCAGGTGGGGCTGATGTGGAAGTAACTTGCTGAACCTTCTTGGGTCTCCCTCTTCCACCTTTTGCTGGTGATTTCGACTTTTTGGCACGGGGCTTTTCGCCTTCTGACTCATCAGAACCTTCATCCTCCTCTTCCTCTTCACTCGTACTTGGTTCTGCTAGGCGAGGCTTCTTGGTAGCTGTCGAGTTCCTTAAGCGACGTGACTGTCGCCTTCCCGTACCCTAGAGAAATGATGGTCAGAAATCACTTTGCATGCAGTTCCAAAATACACAACAAGTCACACAAGAAATGTTTAGTCTAAGCTCGGAACTGACTGCCCATGGCAGACATTAGAGACATGCTGTGTGAATGTATTTCCTACTAATCATGGGACCAAATTCAGATAGCCAAATAACACTTGTTTGTCCACAGTAAACAAATATAAAACCCCATTCAAGAATCTGAAAGCAGACATTCACCTTCACATTATCCCTAACTACAAAACAAACACTTTCTTCAAGAGGTCAACCATTCTTTTATGGTGTGGTGTTCTGAGTTGACACAATGCAGGTGAGTACTGTTTTGGAAAAACATGCTCCCTTCGTCCTGTCCTGAAGACGGAGACAATCTGTTCCTCCGAAACCCTGGTATCCACCCACCAGTCTACACAGTGCCATAACCAAGATAACACCATGAATCTTTATGTATGTGAGAGCCTCAAGTCTCATATCACTTGTTATGGAGTCAGGATAGTCCAGTTGGTATAGCGATGGGTAACATGCTTGGATGGCCAGGGTTCAATTCCAAGCAGGGGTAAGATTTTTATCTTCTCAGTAGTATCCAGATTGGCTCTGAGGCCGCACCATCCTCCTGTCCCTGGGGTGAAATGCCAGTGTTAAGCTGACTACTCACCTCCATCTAGTGCCAAGGTCAAGATTGTGAAGTTATATTTCAATCCCCCCCCCCTTCATCTTCATAGCATAGGGCTTAATTAATTAAACATATGGACAAATTTACTTTTTAGCTCATTATCATTTCATCATCTGTTTTTAAAGGCACGCACACACACACACACACACACACACACATATATATAATATAGGGCTTCATAACATTGAAAAAGATCTGATATTCACTGATGATGCATCTACTGATTTAGACATGTAAATTCCTTCTGACACTATGACACCTTCCTTCCCATGAATTCTGTACTGAATCAGATCTGCTACATACAATCCACAGGCCTTAGCCATCCTACACATCGCCTGAAATTTTATCGACAAGGTGGGCTTGCACCTTGGGAAACTTTCTTCTGGATTTTCTTAGACACTTCCTACCACTCAAAACTTCACATAATTCATATAACCCACTCTATAACAATGTGATACAGTAACAAATATTTCTGTGATTTGTAACTTCAGTATGTTCACAATCATGGATAACACAGGCAATAGTGAAAGTCTCACTCAGCAAACCTGCAAATACATGTGGATAGTTGTGAGTACCAAAGAGAGCTACAAAGTAGCATATCACAAAACCATGGAGGAAGCGTGGTGTACAGTTCTGTTCAGGGGAATGTTCTGAAAATTACCATTCAAAAATAAATTATTTGGAGTTATCCTGTAAAGGAAACTTCCATGATCTGAAAAGCTGACTGTATTTACAACATATAAATTACTTTACCTCTACTTGTACCAGCTTCAAGATCTATAAACTAACCGCTGATAGTGTATTTTCTGCAAGATGCTTGTGCAAAGTATATATTATGGCGTTCAGATTTCATATTTTTATGTAAAATAATATGAAGTTACCATTTTTTTTACCTTCACTTATAACCCTGCCGCAGAGGATTTAATAATTTAAATATCTCTTGAACTGGAGGTGTGACATTAAGGGATTCATCTCTGGCTCATCCCAAAGTCAGGAAGTTTGAAGTTTATTAAGTTGACAATCTGAATATGTCCATCCTCCCAAATACAACTCATGCTGCTGGTCTGCCCACCCTATCAAACAACTCTTTGCACATTTCCTACTCCACACCGTAAGATGCTGAATTATGAAGATATGTGATAGTCCACAACCTGACCAAACACTGGTTCTGGTTAATGTTCAAGTCTTTTGCCAAAAAGCATAGAAGTGGTAAAACAAGAGTGACCACTATATACAGACTGTGAGAAGTTCAGTTCATTAACACAACAAGCAGATACGATAAATATCTGGTTGGTACAGCATCATACTGCTTATCAAAATAAGTTAAGTTATTTACACACAGAACACTTTTTTTGATGACAAGTTCAACATGGAAAGGGAGGGTGTAAGACTTATCACTAAAATACCCAGATATAGAAGAGCCTTCAGCCTGAATGCCTGAAACTACTGAATGGGTAATAAACAAGGTCAATCAGATCCTCAAAACATTTGTTCAGTGACACATTTCAGCCATAGGCAATGACTGCCTGCTTCATTAGAACTCTACACACTGTCCGATTTCATCTGTACAACACACACCTCATTCAGGAATTGAATGACGATGCAGACAAATGAATGAAGTTTTGCAGATACATTTCTTTAAGTATGAGATCTTTATTCAGACATCATTGTTCATCTGTCAATGGACGACAAAGTCAACATAATAAAATTCTGATTATATTAGGTATAATGAAAAATACTGATATCACAAACGTTAAAACAAAGAAAAGAAAATTATTAATATTTATATCAAGAATGTTACTGCATAAATACCCCAAAAGGAAATAAAAAAGCCACTTTCATTTCATTTTTGTCAGCAAGTAAAACTTCAAATGACGATCCATGCAGAATCCTCACGATATCCACCAATAGTTCACTTCAGGTGCAGGCATGACTCGACCTTACATTCTGGAGATGTCAGAACAAACTGTGACATCAGCCCAGTACAGAATTAGCTTAAAACCTTCTTAAATCTGTAATACAGACTTTGCTGTGCTATGCAGCTATAAAAAACAAGAACTTGTGTGTAACATCTCTGCAACATCCACCAGCACAGCCCATCACACTAGCTACCAAGATGCTCAACTGTTCTTTGGGAGTGAATCTACACAGGCACATGTAAGATTTGAGGCTTTCACGGCGGTGACTATGAAGAAAGCAGTCTTCTGGGATTTGGCACCGTGTATATGTGGTGTTAACCGACGTTTCGGAGGAACGTATCGCCCCCATCTTCAGGGTTGAAGAAGTATAGGTAAATCTGCAAGCGACAACACCGTGAGACACGGTCCTCCGAAACGTCGGTTAACACCACATATACACGGTGCCAAATCCCAGAAGACTGCTTTCTACACAGGCACAGTTCTCCAATCTGAATCAACTCAAGACCAGACACTCACACTACACCACAAGAGATGTTTCGATAAATGATGGGTGACATTATAAGGCATTTGCAAGAGCATCACACTCAACGTCCATATTCAAATTACACTGCAAGGAAACAGGGGACACTGGGTTCACACAGTGGATTCTGCTTCAGAGGGTTCAGAGTATGATCTTTCATCAGATCTGTGTGTGGATGAATTTGTTCACAGGCTGAAACCTAAAATGTGAACAATATCAGGCCCTCCTGTTGTGGTTCAGGATCCACTGACCATTATTCTCTTGATCCTGTCATTGGTGCTAACTGAAACTGTCCTATGAATGCATCACCTCAGAAATGGATTATACACTGCAGCCCAGGTGTGTAATGGACAAGACTGATCATATGTAAATGCATTACAAACATACAAGATTTATGGACAAATAAAAAAGTCTTCTCTGCTCCACCCTGTATAATTATTCCATTAACACCGCTGCCTTCAGTTATGGTACCTTCATTTTAGTCAGAAACTAAATTCATATGTGATGCTGAATTTCACACAATTTACCATGGAACATCAAGTCACATATGTTGTATGGGCACACTGGTGAAAATGGGCACTTACTGAAGTTTATTATATTCTGGTTTAGTAGTGGTGTAAAACACACACACTGCACCAAATATGTAGGTCATACTGAAGGTCATGAGCAACTTTTTTTTGCATGCAACCTGGGAACAGCAGACTTAAGATAGTATAGTGGTAGGTGGAACCAGCTGTTGTGTTAACCTTGAGTGTCTTATGACATCAATAGCTTGCATCATGTGACCAGTATCACTCCTAACAAAATGGCCGACAACGATGTCGTTTCACCAGCGTGCTGTCATCAAATTTCTTGTGAAAGAGAAAATCCCTGCTGCAGAAATTCACCAGAGACTTCAGCGTGCTTATGGAAGTGTGTGCATGGGTGCGAGCAGTGCTCAAAGATGGGTGAAACATTTTAAAGATGGGAACACCAGCATCGAAGATGAGCCTCGGAGTGGTCGTCCTCAAACAGCCTCAACTGAACGCAACAAGGAAAGAGTGGATGAGATCATTCAAGATGACAGGCTTGTGACTGTGGACACAACAGCCCGAAAACTTGGAATAGGGCACAGTGCAGTACAGGAGATGATTGAAAGCTTGGGCTATAGGAAAGTTTGTGCTCGTTGGGTCCCGCGGTTACTGACCGAAGACCACAAAGGTCAGCAAAAGGCCATCACCTCAGAACTGCTGCAGAGATATCGACATGAAGGCAATGATTTTTTTCTCTGTATTGTGACAGGTGACGAAAGCTGGTTTCACCATTTCGAGCCTGGAACGAAATGGCAGAGTATGGAATGGCACCATTTGCATTCTCCACCAAAAAAGAAGGCAAAGACAGTGCCATCAGCTGCGAAGGTGATGGACACAGTCTTCTGGGATGCAGAGGGTTTATTCTGGCCGAATTCCTGGAACCTGGGCAAACCATCAATGCTGCTCGTTATGTCCAGACGCTGCACAAGCTCCGTCGTGCATTGCACGATAAATGTCCAGGACGAAACATCATCATCCTGCATGACAATGCTCGCCCCCACACTGCTCGCCTCATACTGGAAGCAATTGCAAAGATGGGGTGGGAAGTTCTTCCACACCCCTCCTATAGCCCTGATCTGTCACCCTCCGACTACCATCTTTTCGGATTTGTGAAGGATCAGCTGTGTGGATGTTTTGAGACAAGGGAGGCAATTCAGAAAGCAGTGCGTCAGTGTCTTCGGATGGCTGGAATGGAATTTTACAAAAGGGTAATTTTCAAACTCCCAGAACGCTGGGAGAAATGTGTACAAAGAAGTGGCGATTATGTGGAAAAATAAAGAAAGGTCTGTAGATTGAGGTCGTGTATTTGGTTTGTCAATAATAAAGCATGTTACTTTACAAAAAACTGTTGCTCATGACTTTGAGTACGACCCCCGTAATTCTTCTGCCAACACTATACACATTACTAGGTTTGAGGTTCCCACAATAGGTACACTAAATTCCAGAGCAGGTAAAATTACAATTATCAGGCAACCCTATGGCCCTAGATGTAGCAACCTTTATTGTATCTGCTGTGATGTGATGCCATACTTTGGTCGAAGATTATCAATATTTGTGAGATGCTAATTTCCCCCGAAACACTGGTAAACTTTCACCAGCTGACACAGCATCACATCTCAGAAGACCTGTCTTATTCATAACAAGTACTAAATATTTCATGTCCTACACGGTTTCTACACAATTTATCACTTTTTTAAAAAAACCTGTCTAATAAAAACGGGTTATCACTTTATTTAAATGCTACCTATGAATCAAGCTGCATAAACATGACCACAGTACTGGTAATGGAACAGCTGTAAACCATCAAATATAAATTAATATTCCACTTTAGGTGAGAGTATAGAAGCCTATTTCCTAGTCTTCTTCCAAGTTTTTTTTGCATATGCTGATATTAAATAACACAGCCCTCACTTCACAAAAAGTTGTGGTACAAAATGTTGCTCATACTAACTTTTATGACACACAAATACCTAGTTTGGATTGTCATCCCAATACAAATTTACTCTCCTGAATCCCTTCCAAACAAAAGTGAACACAGGCAACCAAAAACGGAAACAAATGAATACTGTTGATCAGTGACTTCAGCTTGCACTCTGTTCTGGTGAGCATCTTGTGTAAGTCCTTGTTTTTTAAAAATTTCAACAAAACAAAATACATGTTAATCATAAAATGACAGAATTCTAATACCCCTGCACCAGCTGTTTAAAAATTTCCCAACAGTTGTGGTATCTATCTCAGATGTGGTTTTCACCCACCTAAGAAAACTGGGCTTCTTGGGGCTAATGGTCAAAAGTGCTCAAATGCCATCAAAATCTTGTGCTATATCACAACACAATACACACTGTAAGAAATGGCGTTGTAATGTGTAATTCACATACATTTCTTAATACACAGTGATTCAAGAACTGATATTGGTACGTTTAGCTGTTCAGTGATTTCTACAGGTCATATCTGGGTGGCTATCGACTTCCTTGATCATTTCCTCCTTTGCAAATTCTTTACGTTTTATTCCTGTCACTGTAGCAAAATTCTGAAAGTCTATGAATGTCACCTACCTTTGCCTCCATACATTCCCTGTACACAATACCAACTGTGTTAATACAGGAGGAAAACCTGGTAAAATAATGCAGGAAAATCAACTGAAAGTACCATCTCCTTCCAGTTCTCCATTACAAGGTTTCTGATATAATGCAGGTCCACTGTTCTGCTGTCTAAAACATTCAGCCACTTTTCAACCGTGTGTTGAATGTTACACCTTTGATCTCTTTACATTCTTTGATAATTCTAGTAATTTGCATGTATGTTCCCTTATGCACTGTTCACTCATCATAGCTGGCAGTAAAATGGATAAGAATGGGTCACCCATTTGATTTCTGTGTATTCTTCTACTCTGCACACCTTACCAAGGATCTCCTCAATGCCCAACCTAAATGCATTGTGCATACGTTTTGCTCCTCACCAATCCACAAACTAAAGCCAACATAAAACTCATTTCTATCTTAGCTGACCTGAGTACAACTTTGCAACACTGTGGATTAACTAACTTCATGGAGCTGAGCCCTTCTTGAGAAGCCATCCATTGTGCAACTACTCAAGAACTTCCCAATATTTTATGGAACCCAAAGGTACATTACCACGTTCACAAGAGCCCTCCACTGGTCCCTATCCTGAGCTAGATCAGTCCAGTACATACCTTCCTTCCTTCCCCTTGGCGCCACAGCTCAAGGTGAGCTTTGGCGTCCTGAACAACCTGCCTCCATTCTTCTCTATTTAGTCCATACCACCCCATCCTACCTCTCTAAAATTCATTCTAATACTGCCCACCCTCCTATGTCTCGGCCTTCCTAGATGTCTCTTTCCTTCTGGCTTTCCCCCCCAAGATCCTATATGCATTCCACTCCTGCCCGTTTGTGCTACACAGCCTGCCAATCTCATCCTCCTTAACTTGATCATTCGAATTATATTTGATACAGTGGATTAGTAACCGTAAATAAAATTAAAATTCTGATAGGTCAGAACAGTTATGTCAGGATTAGTGTAGTGTAAATGAAACCCTAATTCTGAAACAGTGTCTTCCCCATCACTGTCAACCTTACTAAAATCCTCAGAAAGTTCCCAGCAAAATAAACATCTATCTATCGAGGGTTCCTAATATGATACACTGGTGGACTGCAGTCAGGGGCCCACCACATTAACAATCAACCTCTGCTATGCTTTGCAATATTTTTCCATCACCCACATTGGTGGCCGTACACAGCCACAACAGCACTCAACTTGACAGAAGAGTTCACAAACCACTCATTCCTGAATATCCAACTGAGGAACCATACATACCTCTCCTGATTAACATGAGCAACTTCTAAAAGTAAGCCTGTATTTTAATTTTATTTTTGAATAAGTTTTAAAATTCTTACACTTAATTACCACAATATTCCTAAACTTTTATTATCATGTACTGGTATGTTATGTCTACACTGTTTACTCTCATTAAAAACCTTGGTAAATGTCCACTTTACATAGACACCATGCAACATCTGCAATTTCCCCTTCCACTGTGCTTCAATTGACCTATGATTGATGATGTCACAGAGTAAAACTATGCAGGCACATCTTTAAGGCTTTGTCCCCCATGATATAACATTACATCCAACAGCAACTGCTGCATTTCTATTTACACCTGGATTTTTTTTTAAAAACAATGCCAAGCTTCACAGCATCACTAAGTTAGTTTGTTATTCTTTTGAAACTAGAAGCACCTGGGGGTTGGGGGACACCTCCATGGAATAGAGGTCCTATAATCCTCCACAAACAAATTTTTGGATGAGATTCCAATGTCCTACACTGGAAAACAGTTGTTAACCCTGTTGGACTCCAGCTTCTCACAGCAGTGACTACAAAGAGAACAGTTTTCTGTGTTGTAACATCCTGCAGTCTGGAGAAGGCCTGCTTCTTATAGTTTCTTACCTAATTCACTCTTCAACATTTGAGATGGAGGCAGTAGAGTTTTTCAAACATTGGGCTTTCTCCAAACTATACAGCATTACAACCCAGAGTTCCTGCCCTTCAATGGGTTGTTTCCTTTTTATTATAATGTTTATAATCTTTGCAGTGCCTTACATTCCAGCTTAACTCTACTCTGTTTTATCCCTTACCACTAAGCAGCAATGACCCATGGTCCCATGCAACAATGTGTCAATAAGCAGACCAGGCACCACAAGTCATGGTGTACAACAGGGGGACTTCATAGCAGCTCTTTTAACGTGTGCAATTTGCTCATGTATAACTGGATTGGAGAAGCTGGATTCTTTTGGAATGTTGTGCTTGGGCAGCTAACAAAAACCTTATTATCAGGAATGTACGGAAGAGCACTGGGTTCCAACAGTCACATCTCAACAGTGAGGTGATCCTCCTTATGTACTTCTGACCTCTGGAACTTGCTCAATACTTTGTGCAGCACAAACGTCCAGTGGCCTCACCAGTATATGGACTGGTACAATTTCTGCATAGATATTTGCATTCACATTGTGAGAAGCAAACGAAAACTTACCAGCTTCTTGTGCCTCTCTTATGCCAAATTTCAGCTTCAAAATCCTACTTAACAGACGCACTGTGAACTCTCTTTCCCTCCTACCACAACCTCCTATCAGGCACGTTACCTGCTTAGCTGTACTCTGGGACATCATTGTCCCACCTCAGCTAAACTGAAGGGTAAACCTATGTGAACAGAGGATAGGGACAAGACACTGCACAAAATTTTACCAAATATATTTGTGTAACTTTTAATGTTCATTTTCCATTAAATCCTAAACTCAGAAAACGAATGAAAGGGCCTTAGGCGGACATTCCTTATCAATATACGTCTAAAATTGTTACTTGAGACAACAAACAAATTCGAGCAGACTTTTACTGTTCCCATGAATTCAAATAATTTCTCTCAATATTTCACGAATCACTTATGGCCGAATACTTTTTAGTAATTTCCACAGGCATTAATGTATAAAATACAGCATTTCTACCACTACACAAAAACGAGTGACAAACAAAAACACGTGACACGTATATTTTACAAAGCAGTTTCATCAATCATCAAAACTAGGTTAGTTAAACATACTTCTCCACACCCCGGAGTCCAGTCATCGTCGGAACCCTGCAGTTCCTCAGGCTCGTCTACCGAAAATTCATTTTCAGATTCATCCCCTGCGTACTTCTTCTTCATGGTTACCTTCTGAACCTATTACATATAATATTGCATTATTCGGTTATAAAATCAACTATTTTTCTAAAAAAATCGTATATACTACGGTCCTTTGCAATTATCTCACCAATCACGTTGCACAAACCGGCTATGGCAGCGATCAGGTTAGGTACGCCATAACCAGCCTCCAGTTGCGTTCAACACACCCTAATTAAAACTATATTAAGTTATCTCAGTGTATTAAGATTACCTTTTAATGTGAAAACTTTACACTTAAACTACATAAATATAACGAATTTATCAAGTTCTTTGTTAAAGAAACGCAAGAAATGTATGCTTACCTCTCCAAGGGCGCCCAAACAACGAGTACGTTCAACAATTATGAAAAAGAGACGGAGTCACCAGTACACAGGAAGTTAGCCAGTCAATTGGGGTGCATTCTATAGCATACGACTGTGCATTCGCCACGTAAACTAAATATTTAAGGAAATTTGCTTTATACTGGATATTAAAGTTAAACAATTTGAGTCGAGGAATTAAAAAAAATGTCACAACAGAGTGATCATGCCTCATATGTGTCGAAAAATGTTGACGCTATAGATAGGAGCTTTCCGCGCCCCCGCGCAAATTCAATATTTGAAAACATGTTCGATGCATGTCACTATACAGTGCTACTAAGTCTGTTTAATATTCGTAAAATCTTAAGGGATTTACAAAGCCTTCTACAATGCTATTGTAGTTTCACCTGAAATTTTAAACAATTTCATTCGCGTTTGGCGTCGTAGTGTTCATATTTAAATTACTTCTTCTAGAAGTCATGTGTTGCCATTTTTCGGATGATATACACGTCTGTAAATCGTAAAAAGAAAGAAAATATATATTTGCAACGTTTCTCATCAACATTTAAACTGTAGGCTGATCCCTTCTGTCACAGTGAATTGGATTCATTTATTATTGTGGCATGTCCACTGAAAGCCGAAATAGTTTAATCAGAAGAGACGTCAATTACTAGGTCATGACACAAGATACAGACGCAACAATGTAATACGTCGTGTCATACAAAGTAACCAGCAGCTGATGAGACGCTGCATGTCCATTTCATTCAACAGGGAATAGCAGCTTTCAATTTGTAGACTACATCATAATTCTTTCTAGCGTGTTCGATCTCTTCCGCAATATCTTCCACTGTGCCAGGGCGGTGTGTATTTTTTTTTTTGCGTATGTATGTAGCAAATCCGAAATCTTCTTTGTTGTATTTTATGCTTCTTGTGTACTCTTGATATCTGACATGAAAGGGTACTCTATGATTTATGGAGATCCAAATCCAGTACCAGTATTAGTATTTGTTGGTTTTGAGTATTTTGTTAAATGAAGGTTAATTACCGACTGTATCTACTGTTTTAAACACCACTTTCACTTTTCAGTTTTTCAAATAGTCTTGTGATAGCGCAGATGTTAATTCCCCTGGCATGTAAACAGTTCAATCTGTATTCCCAACAGAGCGGACAAAATATGTACATTGTAAAATGAGACACCGGCCAAATAATTAATGTCAAATATATTATATATATTATCTATATTATCTATACCACCAGCCTCCAAGCAGTTTACTATATGTATACACGTCTAGAATATACCATTATATCAGAGAGAATATAACAAGATTGCAACAACTGACTTCATGATATGCAATATCATATGAAGAGTATTTAACCCTATTTTATTCCATAACTTTCGTTTAATAATAAGTTTGTAATTCATTGAATTTTATACCTTGTATTTTATAATGTAACAGTTATCAAGTATCCAGTTTTACTATCACAATGAAATTGCAGTTCAATAGTGTGTGAATATAGTAATCATGTTTTGCCTGACGATGCCTTTAAAAGCCGAAACATGTAGCTAAGAATTGTATATAATAACACAACAGGATGCATGAAGTGAAAATTATATATTTATCTATTATTTTATTTATGTATTTGCTACATCAACTGGAGGCAAAAGTTTTATATTAGTATATAATACGACGAGTTGCTCCGATAAGGATCCATATCGGTATTTCAATGACTATTCGTATTCCTGTGTATAACTGCCTGATAATGGTCTTATACGACCGAAACATGAAGCAGCAATAAAGATCAAATTAAAACTGAGTATTTGTTGTGTCTGACAGTAGGCATAATTTATATATATACCAAAACAGGATGCAACCAATGAAGATGTGAAACTGCTTCACAATACAGTAGAAATTGTGCTAATGACGATTCTGAACTGAAATGCAACAGTTACAGTAATTTATTGGTGAACTTTGCTGCATCATGTTAATACTCAATTCAAAACGAAAGCGACGCAAAAAAATTAAATTATAATGATTGCTACAAAAAAAAAAGTAGAAGTATCGCTGTAACAGACCGTCGAGTCCCATAGGATTGTGAGACGTCGAGGCTCCCACATTTTCCAGACAATCGTCTCACACATGACAGTGAGGTTGTCAGCGTTATGCGCCGGCCGTACTTTACCTCTATGAAGATTCCTGACACTCGTTTCTGTTAGAGGCTGAGTCAGGACCATAGTGCGGCAGGAAGGATTAGGACAATTGAAAAAATCCAACGACCTCATTAGTAATCGAACTTGTGACCTTCCAGCTTGTAGCACAGTGCCTCAACCATTTAAGCTACCGCGTGCCCCAATGGTCACTATATGACAGGCCTATATGTGTTTGGATAGGATGCTTTAAATGAGTACCAGGAATCTTCCTGAGGGTACAAGGAGGTTGACCGGCGCTTAAGGATGACAACCTCACCGCCATCTGAGAGCCTATTGTCTAGAAAATGTGGTAGTGTCGACGCCTCACAAACTTATGGACCTCCACGGCCTGTTCCAGAGTAAGCTATTAATAACAATTGTTTGGACAGCAGCGCGTTGTTGGCGACAAATGTAACGAGTTCTAGTAAATGGGGGGGGGTCTAGGAGAATGGAGGGCGTTGCATTTCTCTCCAGCTACAGTAGACCTTCACTGGACCGCTGACTGCTGACTCGCAAGTAACTGATGATATTCCCTCCGTCTTTCTTTACCCTTACCCTTTTATTTCTGTTGGTGTGATGTGGTATGTTAGGAAGGTAGGAGGTCAGGTATTGGGACGCCAGTAAGGACAGAAGAAGGGTGCTTATAATTAGAAGTGGTGCCTCCTTGCTAAGGGTTATTCGAAGATAGCTGGCTTTGCTCAGGAGTCGGTACGTCGGAGATATTATGCCGGCGTCCTCACAGGCCTTCCTCCAGCAAGCAGAAGGCCACTGATGATACACACTACTCACCAATACTAGAAGACAGTAGCAGGTGTAAAGTTGTCACCTATGCTTAACTAATTAAGCACTACGTTATGTAAGTGTATGGGGGGTCCGGGACAGGGCAGATGGCATAGAGACTGACTACGAACTGGACGGCTGAGGGGTCAGAGTTCGAGTTCCGGTAGGGTCAAGGGTTTTCTCTTTTCCACGTCGTCCAAACCGGCTCTGGGTCCCACCCAGCCTCCTATTCAATGGGTACCGGGGACTTTTCCCCGGGGGTAAAGCGGCAGGGGCGTGAAGCTGACCACTCACCTCCAGTTAGTGTCAAGGTCAAGAAAACGTGGATCTATACATCCACTCTCCCAAACTAGACTGCAGTTTGCACTCAAAATAATTATTTATTAAACACTGAAGTGGTGCACACAGAGATTTAGTCTGCTACTAATATTCAGTATTATTTCACTTTAATATTATAGTCTCTAATTATCTGTGAGTTGCTCTAAATTCTGTCAAGTACCTTGGAATGGTCCGAAAAGCATTTCGGTGTGTATAATTTAAATTCAACCGTAGTGACGCAGGCTCGCCGATCAGAGTGGCTGCGGGGTCTATGGGAAGGACTGTCTTCGCTGGCTCGAACTCTGGTTAGTGGGTTCGAATCCCACTAAAAGCATGGATGTCTGTGTGCGTTTATTCTGTGTTTGTGTATATTCAACGGCCTTGCGACAGGCTGATCCCACGTCCAAAGAGTCCTACCGACTATGTATAGGATTAAGAAACTGAAAAAGCTGCCAAGGCCCAACGAAAGGACTGTAGAGCCATAGATAGAGGGACAGACGCAGGTTCTCCTTCCGTAGAGTTCAAAACCAAAAACCAATTTTCCCTCGGAACTGAACTCTCCTGCAACAGAGGTTCACCTTCCGGGAAAGTTCCATCCACCAAACATCCCTCATTGGCTTAGTTAAGCTTAGTTTAAGTTTCCTAAATCTACGTCTCCCAAACAATTATATGTGTTTAGCGACTTTGGATCCTAAAGCCCAAACGGTGTCTTTGACAGCGCTCTAATCTGTGATAGTCATAGTGTGGGTCTCCAGCACCCCTCCTTTTGACTTATTACTAGGGACCGGATTTTAATTAAAATACATATTTCTTTCTTGCAACCAGAAAGTATTCTCGTTTAGATATATGTATGAATTACTTAATTTCTTAAAATTTGGAGATGGTCTGACGGTGCATATAAATGCATATTTTGGCTGTTTTATAAATAAGCATTATATTTTTGAAGATCTCTATTTATACTGCATATTTCCTTTTTAACTGTTTATCATATATATATTTTAACTTTATGTTCAAATATTCAATCATGGTCATGTGTATACAATTTTTCTTTTCTGTATTAGAATATGTTGCATATTTGACTCAACATTTCGTCATGATTCATGTTTCTGATGCAATAACTAAAACGGGACTTCCCCAATACCTCTACTCGTAACTTGCCTCATCCGCGTACCATCAAACTGGCCGCGAAGAGATTAGTCGGAAGCGTTCACATGTAGCAGCTATCAACGTAATACTATTCAACCGACAAGGAACTTCACTTATTTATTTCCGAAGTCTCCATGAGGTTCGTTACGCTTCTTCATTTGAAGCTGGGGCCATTCACATTAGTGGTGACTAGTCTGTAATTAAGTTTGTTTAGCTTTCTGTAGTCATGTCAAAAGTAAAGTAAGTCAGAAAACTAAATTACAGCTGTATCAGCGTGAGTTCGAAAGAGAGATGATAAGTACGGATAACGAAATTCTTTATTGCCGAGCGTGTGAGAAAACAGTTGGTTGTGAAAAACGCTTTCAAGTGCGTCACTAATATACACAAAGAGAATACTAAAATTAAATCCACGAAAAGTGCTCCTGTACAAAAATTACTTAGAGAATTTTCTAATAATAGTTTTTCACAGGTTTCCTTTGATTTATGCGAAGCCTTTTTAACGGTAGATATTCCGCTGTGGAAACTAACCAGTCCTACTCTGAGAAACTTCATAGAGAAGTATACAAAGTGCGAAGTGTCGGATGAACCTACTGTGCACAAAAATTACGTGAAGCAGTGTTACGATCTTACAATTGAAAGCATTAGAGATAAGATTCAAGATAATTTTGTGTGGGTATCAATCAAAGAAACACAAGATTGTGAGGGACGGTTTATTGCAAATTGTATAGTTGGATCCCTTAATAAGAATGAGCAATCTACCTCATATATTCTTGTGGTAGAGCAATTTGAAACCACAAATAGCTCCGCAGTTTCCGAATTTTTTATCAATTCCATGAATTTACTATGGCCGAATGGCATTCAGTATGAGCGCGTATTGCTCTTTGTGACTAATGCCGCAAGTTATATGATGAAAGCCGGTACTGCTCTTTAAGTTATATTTCCAAATATGACACATTTGACTTGCCTTGCCCATGGGTTGCACCGTGTTGCAGAAACAATTCGTGCTAATTTTCCGCTTGTTGACAAGTTCGTGTCTTCTGTGAAGAAGGTATTTGTTAAAGCGCCATACAGAAAAGAGGCCTTTAAAGCAGTAGCACCAAGCGTTCCACTTCCGCCAGAACCAATTTTAATGCGCTAGGGCACGTGGCTGTGTGCAGCGAGTGATTATACCGAACATTAGAAACAGTTAGGAATGTCGTGAATACATTGGATCCCAAAAGGTCAGCATCAATTTAAATTGCCCAAGATGTACCAAAAACACGCAGAACTAGAAACTAATCTTTCCTATATATATATCTGCTCACTTCTCTCATCTTCCATCCGCCATTTCCTCACTGGAGGCAAGCAATAGCAATACTACTTTGTATCAGTCACTAAGTGTGTTCAGAACCACTGTTTCCAAATTGAATTCGGTTCCTGGAAGAGTTGGTGAAGTGGTAAAGGAAAAAGTACACAGCATTCTTTAAAAAATTCCAGGATATGAACAAATTTGTGAAACTGAAGAAATTTTAGCCGTTAAGCGTACTGAACTGCCAAGTAACAAATCACTAACAGTGGAGCAAATAGCGGCTTTTGTAGATGCGCCCCTAAGTTCCTGTGAGGTGGAAAGAAGTTTTACTCGCTATAAGGATATCTTACGAGACAATAGGAGGCGACTAACTATGGAAAACCTAAAACATTTAGTAATTGTGAACTGCAACAGAAGAGAAGTTGAAAGTTCGGAGAGCTAAATGTGAGTACCATTGGTTTTTTAAATTTGTAA